GACTATAATTGCTTGTCTTCTATTTTCTAGACTGGGTATTTCAAATTCACTTCTAAGTGCTACTGTTCTAACTATATTATAGTCCGGGTAAACTTTATATTTTTTATAATACAGATATCTCAGAAATCTGTTTTGAATTTTTTTCAAAATATTTTTGTTGATTAGCTGAGAGGGATGCCAGATTGCAGCGCCTATTCAAGTTTAGGTCTTACTAGAGTATTATAAAGTGCAGTTATTGCTTTGGTGTCATTGAAATGTGCACTTTGTCTCATTACAAAGCCCATAGTCCGTAGTGCCTGCGATGCGATATGATTCAAATGTGGTTTATACGAGAGTGCGGAGTTATAATATATACCCAAATCTTTAACAGTCTCTACTCTGGATAACTGCATATCGTTCATCGAGTAATCGTATAATATTTCAGATAATTTTCGGCTACAAGATAGTACGATACATTTGGATATATTAAATGGGAGTTCGTTTTTTACACTCCATCGGTGGACCCTATCAATATCTTCCTGTAATTTGACGCAGTCTTGCGGGCTTTCGATCTTTCTATACAATTTCAGATCATCTGCAAATAATAGGCACTCCGAATACTTTATATTATGCGTAAGGTCGTTGATGAATATTAGAAACAGTAGCGGGCCAAGGTTTGATCCTTGAGGGACTCCGGAGTTAGCGCGAAATTTCTCTGAACAGTTTCCTGCATATTTGACCCTGAAGTATCGGTTATTCAAGTAAGAGGCCAACAATTTGAGTGCTTGGAGATCAGCGCCATATTTATGGAACTTTTGCAGTATCACATCGTGATTGACTTTGTCGAATGCCTTCTGGAAATCAGTATAAATTACATCGACCTGTTTATTGTTATCTAGATGGTTGAGGACATGATGAGAAAATGTTAAAAGATTTGTAGAGGTTGATTTTTTCGGAACAAATCCGTGCTGTTCTTCACAAATATTCCCTCCAAAGCCACTCCACACTTTCGCATAAATAATCTGCTCAAATAGCTTCGCAGTAGCACATAAAACTGCTATTGGCCTATAGTTTTCAATTTCTGAGACTTTTCCAGACTTATGGATAGGTGTTACTATAGCTTCTTTCCATAAGTCTGGGAATGTATTCGATTTTATTGCTAAATTATAAATATATAGAAGAGGCTGCTTTAACCAGAGTCCACATCCTTTTACAATATATGGTGGAATCTTATCACTTCCTGCAGATTTTTTCGGTTTGAGTTTTTTCAGGGCTTCAAAGTAATTACTGTCAGTTACTTCACTGATTGATAAGTAACTTTCAATATTATTATTATCCAAGTTAGGATTGTAAGATGCCTGCTCGTTGCTGTAGACTGACTGAAAATATTTGCCAAAGGAACGTGCAGACTCGTCATTTTTTATGGTAGTGCCCTGTAGCTTGAGTGTGGGGGACGAGTTACATGTTTTTTTATTACTTTTTGTGAAAGACCAGAAGTATTTTGGATCGGTATTAATGGCGTTCTCGATGTTTATTATGTACTCTTTATTTTATGACACTTCTCTATTAGTTTTTTCAATTTGCGTCTTTCCTCAACGAACAGTTGCATATAATGGTTGGATAGATTTTTCAACTTCCTCAGTTCATTTTTTCTTTTTAGACATTTTTTCACATCATTAGTGAACCAAACAGGAAACTTACTCTTTTTATTTTTCAATTGAGGTACTAATTCGTCGAATACTTCATATATCTTATTGTAAAAAAAATCAACGGCGTCATTGACATTTTCTATTTCGAACATTTCATTCCAGTCAATATCTCTGATTCTATATGAGAGCTGTAAGAAGTCGCATCTTTTGAAATTATAAAAAGATTCTGTTTCAAAATAGGTTTTGTCTCCGCAACCCTTACTATTTTCTATTTCTATATCAATTATCAATGCAGGATGGTTAACATCCTCTTCTATCAGAGAAAATTCAGATTTAGATACTTTTAGTACATCGCAGTTTTCGGACGCTGTTAACACCAAATCCAGTTTTCGATTATTAATATTAAGAACTTCATTTATCTGTTCTAAAGCGTGTAGGTCTATAAAGTCCAAAAAAGTCGTGTGCCTGTCATCCAAGCCTATTCGGGACATCAAATGGGATGCTAGATTAGGTAGATTAAAGTCACCAGTGACGTACACATTTCGGTTATCATTGACTACCTGATGCTCGTAAAAGTTAGCAAATTCAATATAATGTTCAACAGTTGATTTCGGAGGGAAATAGACCGCAAAAAGAGCGATTTCAATTTTTTTAATCTTTACTTTAACATACAGAGCCTCGAAATCACTCTCTCTCTTTACCCAGTCTAGAATTTTGAATTTTTTGCTTACCCCTATCATAACTCCTCCTCCCCTTTCTTTGCTGGTTATATGTGGATTTCTGTCACATCTAATTAATTCATACCTGTTGGTGTTAATCAATTCAGAGCTATATATTGAATCATTCCCATGTTTCTGTTCCTACTATCAAGTCATAATTTTCCCCTTCGGTACTCAGTTTGAATTTGTTCAATTTTGTTCTCAGACCCCTAAAATTCTGATAATAACAAGATATATTTTCCATTTCAGCTATTTATATGAAAAGTAAATACAAAAACGAAAATAATAAAACTACAAAAATGCAAATCAAAGTCGCGCACAGTGTTGTCGTGCCCCCGCATCCATGTTATCTCTTCATGTTTTATTTCAAGTCGCTCTGTTTCTCTATTTTCCTTTTCCTGCCTTCTATATTCGCAAAGATGTCTCCGTTCCTTGTCCATACGTTTCTATATGAATATTTGTTTGTTGCTGCTTTCAACAATTCCAGTCGTGCTCTGTTCAGATCTTCCCTGATCACTACGCCACTGCCTTTCAATAATCGAACATTCTCCATAACTTCTTGTCTTTCTTTATAGTTCGAGAAACGGATTAGTATTTCACGAGGTTTTGTTTGGTTTCTTTCCCCGATAAGTGTTTGACTGCTTTTTATATTTGGACGACCAACTCGGTAACAATATTCGGTGTTCGCTGCTACATTTATTTTTAATTTCATGGTTTTATTAATTAAATTATGCATAAGATCTTCCGTGTTCTCACCCTCACTTTCTTGTATGCCAAATATACGCAGACAGTTTCGTCTCTGGAACTGATCGTGTTTGTCTAACTGAGTTTGTAGATTTTCATTTTCACTTTGAAGTGATTTGATCTTGGTTTCACATTCTTCTATCTTCTGTTGTTGTTTTGACATTATTTCATCCAGTTTGCCATTCAGCATTCAACATTTCTTATTAATGACTCCTTGAAGGTTTGATCGGACATAATTGCCTTCATGGTATCTTTAATTAACTTTTGAAAGTCCTTCGGATTTAGGGCCATATTGAGTTTCCAATTTCACAAACGTGGTACTTACAGTTTTATTCACAGTATACTTCACTTCAATATTCGGCAAGGTTTAAATATTTAACTCGAAAGAATATCAATCGCTTGCGGAGCTCACAATCAACGCGTCTACTCGCTATGACTGCTCATTGTAGATTGTATGAATATGACTGTATCTTAATTATATGTAAGTTTTGTTCACTATTTGTAATTTCAATCATACAACAGTCGATAATATTTCATGAATGATCTTATACCAGGAATTACTGTCTGATCATTTATGTCATTCCTACTAGAAAATTAATTATACTTTATATATTATTTGTATGAAATGTATCAATGAAGAAGAGAATGTAATGCAATAACTGGAATAAATGAATAAAATAAAAAATGACACCTCTGATACCTCTCGTATATCAGTGATTGTGGCAATACTTTGATGATTCCCTTTAATCAAATGAAGTAATATGTCTTTCTATCCTGAGAAAACAGAGGTCAAACCATCCATCAACAATGAAATGTTTGCACACAATTTAATTTTCCAATTTTTTATTTTCGTAGATATGATCAATTACGTTTACACATTAGAACAATAAAACATAGATACACAACAAATCAGTCTTTTTGTCGGATTCAAAAAGACAGGTTATTATAAGTGGGTAAAGTGATAAAGTGATAAAAATAGGAATTCAAAAATGGTTGTTGACTACCAAGCCTGATTGAAACATTCTGACCCAGGGTACCATATGTATCACCGGTGATGCTTTTTTATAGTTCACTTCTGTACTTTATGTATCACCAGTGATAATGAACACATATTAATTGAATGCTTGTAGAGAAGCCTAGTGTATAAACGAAGGAATTAGATTGTGGGTATGGTACAGGTATGAACCAAATAATATCGGGATTATTCTGATGAAAAGACGCACCGCTCACTCTCTTGTCAATTTTTTATTGAAATTGTTACTTTCATAAGTGAAAAATGATCTTATCAATAATCATTGTACAAAAAAAATACTAATGTTTTTTTTTGAAAACAGTTCAAACAGTATGAAGGTTTCTCGGGACATTTCGCGTAAAAGGTGGTAACCAATTTTGTATGTTTTGCTGCCATCTTTGAATTTTTGCGTACTCCTCGAAATACGTTTTTCTTCCTAATTGTCCATCATTTTCTTATGAAGGTTTGAATAAAGGCGCTTATAATCGAAGAAAAAACAACAAGATATGAGGAGTTCCCTACAATCATATGATGGAATGGTTCATTTATGTACCATGTGAATCACCGGTGATCCTTCAGCAAACTCTATCGAGATGAAGGCATCTGCTTCAAAATACAATATAGCGACATCTTGTAGCGAAAGGCTACGTTTTGTGTTTGATTCTTCACTTGATACAGAGAGGAAGTATGCGATTTTTTACGGTGGTTTGTAGAGCAAATGAGAGTGTGCATCACATGAGACTCATATGGTAGCCAACGTGTTAATGTTGACATCATTATGACGTAGATGCCTCCCACCACCTTCACCAAAATACTATAACCAGGTTCAACGGGTAATGTGAATGAAATATCCCTAGAACCAACATCGCTGCCTTCCACTTGACTTTTGACTTTTACCTTCTTCAGCTTCTCCAACAACCAAGGCACAGTTTTTTCGTTGGTGATGTCCAGCATCCCAGCACTCTGCAGACTCTTGTACCGGGTGAGCGCCGGAATACGTCGATCGCTGAACCTCTCCGACACTAAAAGCCTTTTTCTGACTGCCTCGGCGAAATTGAAGCTCTCCGTGGAAATGAACGGCTGGATGGTGAACACCACTCGGAATCCTACGAAAGCGTAAAAGGTCCTCCGTCTTTATTTTCATCAACACGCTTATCTTTGTAAGTTTGATGGTTTTTTTGTTCGTATGTTGAGACTAATATCACGAAGTATTGCTAAACCACTTGAAGAGTGGAAGTAACAAAGGTGCTAAGTGCCAAAAATAAAGTTCCGAGATATTCAAGAAAAAGGTAATAAAAACGTCAATATTTGTTTTTTTTTGTTTTTTAGTATCAAAAATCGTATAAAAGGTCAAAGGAAAACCTACTCTTACTAGCACCGATATCTGTTAGGAACCACAGCTGAAAATACATTTTTTTCATTAAAAAAAGTAGAAACGGGGTGTGACATTTTTTTTTAACAAAATAGGATCAGGAAGTATTGCTGATATAATTTGAAGTTTTTCTAATTTGAAAATAAGGATATATAGGCAATAGTCAAACTGACATTGATCTCAACAATAACAAAAATGACAGAAAAATGAGGTGCCTAATAATTCGACAATACAGCAATTCACTTTGGTACTTGCCCCCTTTGATGGCAAATAACCGTTGTCGCGCTTACCGCTGGCTCCATCTAATTGTTGTTGTTGACAGGATTATATTAATCATGGCACTTACAGCTTTTGTCAGGTCATAAAGCATTTCGTTTCAACACCGTTCTACGGCAATATCTCAATTCATGATGTTATATAGATTTACCATCGAGTCCATTGAGTGACTTGGGAAAACAAGGGATGTATGTTATTATTGATTAGTTACGGAATAAACAAATTCAGAGACGTTGGTACATTTTTCAATTCCACATTTTCCGATTACATACACAACAGTTTTGGCGACGAGGATAGAAAAGTATATCGGCAGACCCACATACAGAATGCCAGAAGGTAATGGAACTACAATTGTACCTTCATCAACGGCGCAAATACAGACGTCCTTCAATATTGAAGCATTTGAGCCAACAACGATGAATTGGAGGAGATGGCTTCAACGTTTAGAAGGTGCGTTCAAAATATTTCAAGTGGCTAGTCATGTCCGTGTGCATTACTTGTTGCACTACATGGGAAGTAATTCGTTCGAGATTATTTGCAACAAGATAGCACCAGAAGATCCTTACACGAAAACTTTCGAAGAGATAGTAGAAAAACTTGAACAGTTCTACTCTCCAGCTCCTTTAGAAATCGCAGAAAATTTTCGCTTTCACCAAAGGAACCAGAGGGAAAATGAAAGCCTACAAGAATTTATTGCTGCTTTACAGAAACTTTCAATCTACTGTAATTTTGGTACGTACCTGAAAACAGCACTAAGAAATCAGTTCGTTTTTGGGATTACAAGCAAGAGAATACAATCCAGATTATTGGAAGCTACAGAGTTAGATTTTGACAAAGCCGTCAAAATTGCTGTCAGCATGGAACTGTCAGAAAAAGATGCACATCAGCTACAGAGTGTACGAAATACAGGTGTTTCTACAAACATCAACTACATGGGGACCAAGTCGGAGTCGAAGAACAGATGCAGTACATTGACAAAGAGATCTATACATTCAAATGATACAAGGCCAAATAAATGTATTAATTCTATAATTAAATGTTACAGATGCGGTGGTGGGCATCTAGCTACGAACTGCAAAATGGATAAAAATATTCAATGCAGAGGATGTGGAGTTCGGGGACATCTGCAGAAGGTATGCATGCGGAAAATGTCTCAAACCACTAACCAAGTTGAAGAAGTTCAGGTAGAGGAGATTTTACAGATGGAACATCCAGAATATAGAAATAAATTCCTTACTACGTTGGAAATTAATGGTAAAACAATCGAAATCGAGGTTGACAGTGGTGCAGCTGTTACCTTAATGGGTAAGAACCATTTTATGTCTTTATTCCCCTAATCGTCCATCAACAGTACGGATTTGAAATTGATTAGTTATTGTAAAACTTCACTTCCGCTTCTTGGTTTTGTTACAGTAAATGTTAAATACAAAAATATTATGAAAGATTTGAATCTGTATCTAACAAACAGTGATAGAGAACCCCTCTTAGGTAGAGAATGAATACATCAATTACATGTACAATTGGGAGAATTGAATGCTATTTGTTTAGATTTAGATAAGGATTTAGATGTTCTCAAAACCAAGTACCAAAGTATATTCGAACCCCGTTTATCAAAAATAACAGGTATTCAAGCCAAACTATATTTGAAACCTAATGCTAAACCTGTATTCTTGAAAGCTCGTACTTTACCATTCAAATTGATTCCACTAGTTGAAAAACAGTTGGAAGACTTAGTTGATGCAGGAATTTTTGAGGAAGTTAGCTCGTCAGAATGGGCAACACCAGTTGTACCTATTCTGAAGAGCAATAATACAGTGCGTTTATGTGGAGATTTTAGTGTTACAGTAAATCCACAGCTAATAATCGATGATCATTCTTTACCATCAACGGATGAGCTTTTCTCATCAATGGCCGGAGGCCAGACATTTTCGAAAATTGATTTACGGCAGGCATATTTACAAATGGAAGTCATTCCTGAAGATAGACACTTATAATAATAATAATAATAATAATAATTTATTTACCATGAAATTACAAATTTGATTGAACTTACATTACATGAGATATATAGCACATGGAGAATAAATGGGAGGAAAGCCCACAAAAGTAAAACTTGTGCGTGGGCCGATTTTTCCATCTATATGTTTGTGCGTGAGTTGGAGCTTGATGCAAGTTTTCATTGACGTAATTCATTCAAGTAAATGTTGTAAATTTTATGTACATGATAACGCACAAGGACATACGCATACACATATACATGTTAACAGTAATTTGTGTTAGTAAAAATGTATAATATAGTTATAAGATAAAATAGTTAAATTGTAGACAGTATTTGACAGTGAAATGTATAATAAAGTTATAGAGTAATATAAAATAGTGTATATAGTTGTGGACAGTAATTGGTATCAGTAAAATGTATAATATAGTTGTAAGATACAATATAGTAGTGAAAATTGGTGAGTGCTATTTTATGTATAACATGTTATCAAGTGGTTATAGGGGCTAATATATATGTACATTAGAATAAGAGTATTTGATTAAACATTGGTACAAATGGAAACTTATTTTCTTACTAATATAAGTTAATTAATGTATGTTATGACCTGTTTGTGTATAGAATATTAAATATGAAATGGTAGGGGAGAGTCAGTAACCAACTTGTTATCAGCTTTTTGAATAGGTTATATGAATGTATTTTTTTTATATCTGGTGGTAGTTTATTAAATAGTTTAGGGCCAAGATAGGTAAAGCATTTTTGACCAATTGTCTTTTCTGCTTACAATAAATACACATAGAGGTTTGTTTCGTTGTAATCGACTTTTGTATGGCATTGCATCTGCACCTGCAATTTGGCAGCGGGAAATTGAGATTATTTTACAAGGCATACAAGGTGTATCAATCTTTCTAGATGACATAAAAATTACGGGGCCTACGAAAGAAATACACTTACGAAGACTCGAAAACGTTTTCCAGAGATTACAACAGTACAATATTACAGTAAATATTGAGAAAAGTGAATTTTTCAAAGATCAGATTCAGTACTGTGGTTATGTAATTGATAAACATGGTGTTCATAAGGATCGTAAGAAAATTGATGCCATAAATAACATGCCCAGACCCACAAACATCGGAGAGTTGAGGGCTTTCATAGGCATGATCAATTATTACGGGAGGTTTATCAAGAATTTGAGTTCTATACTATACCCTTTGAATAGACTTTTATGTAAAGATGTTTCATTCAATTGGTCAAAAGAATCGGAGGATGCTTTCCTCAAAGCTAAAGATGCCTTTCAAAGTGATGAATTTTTGGTACATTTCGATACAAAACTACCACTACTAGTAGCTGCAGATGCAAGTTCATACGGGGTGGGAGCTGTTTTATCACATTCATATCCAGATGGCACAGAAAGAGTTATACAGTACGCCTCACAAACACTCTCGGATACCCAAAGGAAATATTCACAAATCGACAAGGAAGCTTATGCTATAATTTTTGCCGTGAAGAAATTTCATCAATATTTATTTGGAAATAAATTTACATTGATTTCAGATAGTAGACCTTTAGTTCAGATTTTTTCATCTTCAAATAGGTTACCAGTTTACAGTGCAATGCGAATGCAACATTATGCAATATTTTTGAAAGGTTTCAACTATGATATCAGATACAGAAATACAAAATTACATGCGAATGCAGATTGTCTGTCCAGATTACCCATTAAACAAGAAAGTGGTTGTGATTTACAGGATGTAGTTGATATTTTTGGGATAGAAGTTATTGAAAGTTTACCAGTATCATTTGAAAATATAGCAGAAGCTACTAAAAATGATACCGATTTGAATGAACTGTTGATAAGTTTACAAACTGGAAAAGAATTGACAAAGAAAAATAGATTTAAAATGCCCATATAAGAGTTTAGTCTACAGCAAGGTGTAATCATGCGAGGGCATAGAGTTGTGATACCAAAAGCATTACAACAGAAAATGCTATCAGAATTACATACAGGGCATTTTGGTGTTGTTAAAATGAAAGGTTTGGCCAGGGGTTACTGTTGGTGGTCAGGAATTGATTCAGATATTGATCAATTAGTTCAAAATTGTGCTCATTGCAATGAGGTGAGGAACAATCCTTCAAAAGTACAACCACACATCTGGGAACCTTCAACGGAACCATTCCAAAGAGTACATGCAGATTTTGCATCTTTCATGGAATACAATTTTTTCTTTATAGTAGATTCATTCACAAAATGGCCCGAAGTTTATATTGTGAGTAATATTACAGCCTCTACTACAGTAAAAAAATGTCGAGAAATTTTTCGGGTTACCGAAATATTTTGTGTCAGACAATGCAGCGACTTTTACTTCACGAGAATTTCAAAATTTTCTGAAAGTGAATGGAATCATTTCCAAATTCACAGCACCCTACTGCCCATCTACAAATGGTCAAGCGGAGCGCTTTGTACAAACCTTGAAAAAATCGTTGAAATCCATAAAAAGCAATAATTCCTGTTTTGACATACATGCAGCTTTACAAAAAGTTTTGTTACAATATCGTATAATGCCGCATTCTTCAACAAACATGTCACCATCTAAACTTCTTTTCGGAAGGCAAATCAAATGCAGGTTAGATCTAGTTTTACCAAGTCAGATGAGTAACACTACATCAACTGTTAATTCTTCACTGAAATGTAGAGAGTTTAAGGGGGGAGAAAGAGTGGAATGTCGAAATTATATTGGTACACGAAAATGGATATTTGGAACAATAGAGAAAAGATAAGGGGAAACTACATTATACAATCTTAACTGATGATGGACGATGTTGGAAAAGGCATATTAATCAATTACGTGCAATCGGAAGTGATACTACCACTAGAGATATGGAGTCGGATGAAAATAATCTCGACTATTTCATGCCATATGAGACTGAAGAACCTCAAACTAGAAGTACTAATGAACCTGTATCTTCAAAGTCTGAAGACATACCAACTGTAGAGCCTCAAGCAGATTTTCCCGAACCTCCGCTCCATGAGCAGCCAGAAGCTACCACCGCATGTAGACTTAGGAGGGCTAGAAGGAAGCCTTATCATTTGAATGATTTTCAACTGTTTTGAATTGTTATTTTACAATAATCATATTACGTATCTCTTTGTGAGGAGGGGAAATGTTATATAGATTTACCATCGAGTCCATTGAGTGACTTGGGAAAACAAGGGATGTATGTTATTATTGATTAGTTACGGAATAAACAAATTCAGAGACGTTGGTACATTTTTCAATTCTACATTTTCCGATTACATACACAACACATGAAATTATGGCACTTAGCACCTTTGTTACTTCCACTCTTCACTTGCTTTCATAATAAACAAATTTTTTAATTCAGGTTCGATCTCGGTAGCCTTCAAAAGTGCTATCATCAAACCTATTCATGAGAGAGGAGATGAACTTGATATAAGTGATTATCGACTAATATCATCAATATCCAGTTTGACGAAGATATTTGGAGAAATCCTGACGACTCGGATCAACAGCTATCTCAAAAAATGCAATAAACAATGTGGTTTCAGAGAAAATAGATCAAAGGAAGACGCAATAGCCTATGTTTTATCAAAAATCAGTAAACGCGTTGATGAAAAATGTTCGACGTTGTGTTTGTTCATCGATTTGAAGAAAGCATTCGATACGGTATGTCGTCATCAATTACTTCATATATTAAAAAATATTGGATCCAGAGGGACAATCTTCTTCTAGAAAGTAACTTGAAACGCAAAAAACAGATGGTGAAGATTGATAACAGTTTCAGCACCACTGAAGCTGTTGTCTTTGGAGTTCCACAAGGGACCATCCTGGGACCCCTTTAATTCAACATCTACATAAATGATCTATTAATGATTTATTCTAACTTGATATTGAAAGAGATGTAGTCAGTTTTGCTGATCGACACTGCAATAATTCATAGTGCTGACAATTGGAAAACCCTAAAAAATTTAGCTGAAACTGATTTCGAAAAAATAGCAAACTGGTTCAACAATCGTCTTCTAACTGTAAACTTCAGCAAGACCACCTTCATCCCCTTTACATCATATCCAAGATACCTACCAGAATATGACTTCCTCACTATTCAAAATAATGGGACCTCAACCTCAATCTATAAAGTATCGGATATAAAATACCTAGGTATATATATTGACAGCCACCCAAAATGAAATATTCAGATCAATTTTGTCACTAAGAAAATCCGGTTCATACTATCAAAATTCAAATATTTGAAAAAAATACTCACAGATCAAATGAAAACAATTCACTTTTCCTTAGCTGAAAGCCATATTAGATATGAAATAATAGCATGAGGGGTATCTGCTGACTGCTACATTAAAAATCTAGAAAAAATCCAGAAATGACTTATTGAGATTATAATACAATAAACCGACAACCTACATGTCACACCAGCTTTATACCGAATTACAAATCAATATTAGACACACGATAAATATTTTTACCTATGGTATTCTCTAGACAACAAAACTGTATACTATGATACCCGATGAACATAAAAATACTCATCAAATCCATACATTCAAATTAAAAATCAAGATGTGGTTATCGCAAATTCGAAGTACACAAGTTCATGAATATCTAGAAGTTTATAATATATATCCAAGCTGAAAAAATTTAGCAATACAGATCACAAATCACAACAATTTCTTCTTCATCTACAATAATGTCCTCGTTAGTTCAAATATTTGTTTGTGAGAAACATTGGAGAATTTTAAATTTATATCGCTTTGGTAGATTGCTTCTAGCGATTACTGATTTATTTTCATTTTTCGCATATTTTCATCATCGATGTACCCATATTTTCTGTGATTTTTCCTCACAATGTTGATAATTATATTTAAAATTATTAAATTTGTAAAAACTTCCAATTGAATTGATACTTTGCACATTTATCAAAGATGTTGTTCCGTCCATCTCCTTTGTTATGTCCTTTTTTGTAAACTCAAAATAATAATGAATTTCTATGCATTATCTGCTATCCGTGTTTGGCTCACTATATATCTCAAAATTGAATTCGCGCATCAGGTCTTTAAGGTTTTACATGCAGCGCCTCCAAGTGGCCACCGCGGATAAAAGAATCAGAACTTTTCGTACATCGAATCCGAGATTCAATTCGATCGCCTTGGATCTTTCCAAGTCAAATTTTCTCAACAATAGCAAAATATCCGTCCTCCAGACGTTAATGGAACATTAAGTGTCCAATTAATGATTAGTTATCTCTCGTGACGCAAGTGGTACCAGATAGTTCCTGAAGGAAGACCATTCATCCCATACGTCCAGTCCAGAGTGTTGGCCGGCCCGTCTCAACATAATTCCACGAAATACCATAAGGTAAGATCTTAAAGACCACGCTCAATTTGCCTCCAGTCCATTTTTTTTCTCTCCTGAGACTTTACGAGTAAGAGATTCAACCCCCTTACATAACAGATGTTTTGATAGTTTTGTTTCATTATCTCGATCAGAATCTTCAGGATGAGCTTTTTTTCTCTAATGAGATGGTGACTGATGTTCCGCCACCTAAATTTCGAATGTTCCTTCACCAAAATTTCAACTAGCTCCTTCACCAAATATAAAATATTCGTTTTGCTTCAAAATAACTTCACAATCCTTTTTTTACATCCAGAGGGAAGGGTGATTTTGACCCACCACGAATAAAATTGGAACTTTGCACACGAAACGTCAAATTGAAAATCTGACGTCGGCAACTTGTAGAGAGAAGATAATGGATACGAAAATATCAAACTCGTTTTGGTCTATCTCATTCAGTAAAATTGAAGGAAAAGGTATTCTCGCAGCTTCTTATTCAAAAAATAGTATATTCATTTCTTGTATTCTTATTTACAAGATTTCATCAATAAAAACAATCAATATTAGGAAGATACGAAGTTGGTACCCAGACAGCGCACAGGAATATGAATATGAATATTCTGACAAAGTTGAAAAAATGAATATACATTTCGCTCAAGAGTAAAATATCATTGATTTCAACAATATTGAGAATTATTATCATATAGAAAAAATGACTAGAGTTGGAAACAAGTGTTCAAATATCTGATAACATCTACTTACGATGAAAATCATGTTTTATTATTTCTCACAATAATTTCTGATCGATTAATATGGAAAACTTTTTATCATTAATTTCACGGAGAAAATCGAGGAAAAAATGTTTTGAATAAACTGATATATTATATGTCAGAAGATCTTGAAGAATTTGTAAAAAATAATGAAACCAGATTTTCATCGTCGACAATAAATTCTATTTGGAATTTGAACGTATTTAATTTCAATTCTAGTCAACTTCATTCGATGATGATTTTCGATACGTATTTTAGGAAATAAAGGTACTTTACTCTTGAGGTAAATTGATGTTGATCTGAAACATATAGGCATGGTTGAATGCAAAGCATTGGCCTTCTTGAAGAGTGAGCAAACAAAGTCAGGCCAACAAAATTCTGCCGTTGGAGTCATATTGCCAGCAAAAAAGCATTGGGCCAATGAATTTCCGGTAGTTCATTGTTTGCTGGGGTGTCTGACACTCCGGGCAGTTCGACATTAACATTACCAACTTTAAAAGAAGGAATTCAGAGTGTCCTTATTGAAGCTGTTTCAATACGCATTTGGTGTCATAATATGAGTTCATTAAAGACGCGAAATAGAAGAATGATTGTTTTCTGATTTTACTGAAAAAGATAGACCAAAATCAGACCAAGATCAGTAACCATCATCAAATGACACTGATGATGATTTTGAGGTTGAAAAACGTTAGATAATCGTAAAGTGCAATATGTCGTTGGATTCAGAATTGTAATCAGATTTTTTCAAGAAAAATGTTTTCGACTGTTTAATGAAAAAAAAGTTGATGATATGGCTTTTTTTTGGGTAGTGCAAAAATAGTGGCAGTTTTGAGATATGAAACTTATTGTTTTGTGGTGTTACTTCGAATAAATTCAAAAAATGAAAAAAAACTCGCGGATATTCAATTTTTTCAAATATCTTCGCGCGTATTTGGTTTTTCCAAACTTTTGAGGCGAAATCTTGATCAGCATGGAATTGTGTAAGTTTGCCATGACTTAACAGACTTTGTATCGTTTATGGTTATACCGAAATTCCAATAATAACCCTTGAATTTGAGACACCCAGGCTATATCTTCATGAGATAACGCTATCTTCGTTTGGGGATCTGAAAGTTGTAGGATTCTAAATGTTGGTAGGGACGATGAAACAAACATCAGGAATACAAATGAAATATCACACCAAAGTAGCAATTATTCTGAATGGTTTAAAAAACAAAGTTGTTGGCCTTTTTGCCTTCGTATACAAACCTCTCCGTTTCAGCATGTCCAAGGTCTTGTCCAGAGTGGGAAATCGGTCGATGTCCAGCTCGAAGTCTCCGATGTTCTTTTGCCAGAATTCGTTAATCAACACGTGACCTTGTTTCATGATGCCCACGGAGTTGGTTATGTCTTCAGTGAAGTTGTAGATGGTTTCTGGAGAAATCAATCGCATTGGTGTATTGGTTGATGGAATAAAAGGGCAACATATCACGAAATATCTGAGTTTAATTAATAATACATGGTGAATCTGAAAGTGAGTTTTTTTTAACACTTTCGGTGCCTATGCCGACTACTTATTATTATTATACAATAATTCTTATAACAAATATTACAGATAACCTTCAACACTCAGCTCTACTGGGATGAAATGGTCTTGACTAACTATCAGGAAGGCACGTTAGTGTGGTACATTGACGGTTCTGAGACTGATGAGGGTATGGAAGCCGGAATATATGGAGATAGACCCAGAACCAGGATTTGTGCTTGCTTGGGGAGGTATGCCAAGCAGAGTATCCCAAGCAGAGGTGCATTCTATTGTGGCATGCCTGAGAGAGAATATCGTAAGAGGATACAGAGGTTAACAAATCCTGATATGCTCAGATAGTCAGGCGGCCATTCAATCTTTAACAAGCAATAAAATCAGATAAAAACTGGTTTGGGATTGCCTTCAAAGCCTGCTAACCCTGGCTAACCATAACAAGGTAACTCTTCAATGGGTGCCAGGGCATAAGGGAATTGAAGGCAATGAAACAGCTGATGCTCTTGCTAGGCAAGGGTCTGCGGTGTTGTTTATGGGACCGGAACCTGTGTTCGGTATACCCAAAACCTCAATACGCGGCTGGCTGGCAAGGTGGATGCAAGAAAGACATCAGGCATACTGGAACAATGTCCCAGGACAAAGACACAGTAAACTGATGGTTGAAACACTGTCCAAAACAGTGACTAACAACATACTGAGCCTAAACAGAAGTCAGATCAGACAAGTGACGGGACTAATAACCGGTCACTGCCCCTTGAGGAAACATATGCATCAAATGGGCATTTATACAGATGAACCAATATGCAGACTATGCAATGAGGAGGAGGAAACTGTGACCCATGTAATATTGGAGTGCGAAGCACTAGCGCGTTGGAGATGCACCCTTCTGGGAGCAGTAAACTCTCAAGAGGCCTTTCCAAAGAATGATTTGGTGAAGAGGCTGCTAAACCTTATCAAGGTAGCGAACCTGTTCACCTAAGTCAACTGCATGATCAGGAATACAATAGGCCCAAAGGCTGCAGTATTTTGGGCTTCGAACCTTGACTGATCATTCTGCTATTAATCAATCAATCAATCAATCAACCTATTACAAGGGTTGGGGCATCATCATAGATATTTCAACCCTCTCGTGCATAAATTAATTTGAAAAATTCTGAATGATTTCGAAAATCATTAAACGATTCACATTAGTATGATAATGAATTGACAATATGAAATATTGACCAAACTCCTAGATTTTTTCTCAAAAACACCAAAAAACTAAATGTCCACTCTAGTGGACGTTATGCATTTTCCATCATGATAATTCATCTCCAACTGGTATGGAAATATTCGAAACAATCAGGACAGCAAGGTTTATTACACCTTTTACATATACAGGGTGAGTCATGACTAATCAGGCATAGCCTGATGGCGGATAGAGGAAATCAAAGTGAGTTGATTATATGTGGAGAAATATATTTTGCCTATTCGTAACAGGAATACAGGGCATTATTTGAATTCAGACCGAAACTCTTATGAACGATATTCGAGGAATCATAACGTTATCGCAAAAAATCCAGAGCCGGACTCGGAAATCTCATTTCCCTCTTTAGATGTCAAAATGTCGACCTTCTGGATCGTATTCTTCGGCAACAATTATCCGATTCAGAAAAATCTGAGGAAACGCTACAAGTGTGGCTCTTCAATTTGTACGGCACACTTTGACCGATTTGGTAAAAAAATATTGAACGGAATTCTGATGGATATTTCTTCAATTTGGTCCTTCATTCTACCAAAAGTATTCGAATGTTTTTTTGTACATCAATATAGCAGCAGAGAATTGAGAGAAGGTATGATCCAATAATAAGGAGTCGATTTCGTTTTCTGGGAAGGAATAATAATAATTTCTGTAGCCTCCGGGACTTCGAAAATTGCTTGGAATTCATCAATTTATCATCGAAAAAAACAGTCTGGAAACGAAAAGTAATAATAAGGTCATGAAATGTATGACGTCCACTAGGTTGGACTCTTTGTTTTTCCGATTCTGACTGAGGGAAAGTGAAATATTTTGTTATTATACAGGGTGTTTCACAGGTAAAGGGAAATATTTCAATGGTAGTAGGGGTCACCAAGGTGGTTCTGAAAATACCATATTTGATAGGTCTAGAGTTTTCATAACGGAGATACAGGGCGATTTATCGGTTTCGAATAATTATTCATTCGTCTATAAGTATTGAACTACCCAGTATATTTTTCTTGAATAAGGTATGGAGCTTAAGCTTAGGACGTTGAATGCATTCACCTATCGGGCGAAGTGAAAATCCAGGTTCGGCTTCAGGAAAAATTTACATTTATTCGAAATATTAAAATAACACACTGTATGTAATGATTGACAAAGTTCATCAGAGGAATCGTGAAGAGGAGGAAAAACTGAACTGGATCTGATGCTTTCTGTTTTCCCGCCACCAATTCTCATCGTAACAATCATAAACAGGAAGCTAAAAGTATGGCAATTTCAAGAGTATTAAAATTATAAAACCACTTTCAATTATGATTATTTGATATATTCTCGTTATATAAATGATCGTTCGGAAGAACTTACTGTGTCTCACAGTCTAAATAACAGAGATACAGAGAATTATCACTCGTCCATAAGTATTAAACTACCCATCGCAGTAATATTTTCTCAAATTTGCTATTGAGCTTACTTGGGACGATGAATTCATTGACCTATCAGGCAGAATGGAAATACAGGGACAGCTTCAGGAAAAGTCTCATAGTCTTTATAACAGAGATACAGGGTGAATTATCGAATTATAATTCCGCTTTATAGGTTAATGAATCCATCGTCCCAAGTTACATACCATATATGAGAAAATGTTACTGGGTAGTTTTATACTAATGAACGAGTGAATAATTATTCAAAACCGATAATTCACCCTGTATCTCCGTTATAAAAACTGTGAGACTTAGTAAGTTCTTTCGAGCGATTTTTCGACAAAAATATATCGAATAATCATAATTGACACAGGTTTCATAATTTCAATACTCTTCAAATTGACATACTTTCAGCTTTCTGTTTATGATTGTTAAGATGAGAATTGGTGGCGGGAAAACAAGAAGCATCAAATCCAGTTCAGTTTCTCCTTCTCTTTACGATTCCTTCGATGAACTCTGTCAATTATTACATACAGTGTGTTATTTTAATATTTCGAAAAAATGTGAATTTTTCCTGAAGCCGAACCTGGATTTTCACTCCGCCCGATAGGTGAATGAATTCAACGTCCCAAGTTCAAGCTCCATACCAAATTTTAGAAAAATAAACTGGGTAGTTCAATACCTTTAGACGAATGAATAATTATTCGAGATCGATAAATCGCCCTGTATCTCCGTTATGAAAACTCTAAGACCTATCAAATATGGTATTTTCAGAACCACCTTGGTGACCCCTATCTAACATTGAAATATTTTCCTTTACCTGTGAAACACCCTGTATATTTACATTGCTAATGTTAGGTTACAATAATCAAGATCTCTATTTATTACATTTTTTCTATAGCGCCTCCATAGAATGTTCTGACGGGAACAACATTGGAGTCTTCAGCAAAGACTTTGAATTAGTGCAAATATGATTCAACATATAGAAGGTGGTAACACTGGAGATATGTCAAAATATGTCTAATATTGCCAACTATAAATAGTTTTTGATAAAACATGGAATATTTCCATTGCTTACAACTACTTATTCCTCCTGTCCACTCTTGTGGGCATTATGCATGAGAGGGTTAAACAAAGAGAGCGTAGTCTCAAATGTGAGCATGAACATTTTTATAAATTTCTTGCGACTGATTCTCGATGTAAAGATAGTGTAAGTTCATCGTGACGTACCCTGTATACCGTGTTGAAAGATCCTCACACTTTGATTCACCCTGTATAGTTGATTCAACTCAGATCTCTTGTGGTATCATCCCGAACATTCACCGCCTGAAAAGCAATTTCTCGTACCTTCAGTCAATATCTCGTCGGAGTCCGAGATGATCTCCCAAACAGGCTCCGTTAGCAAATAGTCGATGACGTTGCTGTCTTCCTTCTTCAGACCATCCCACAGGGTGTGCTCGCTGAGGTGGTTGTGCAGCTCAGACATGTTGGAGCCCACGCAGATGCTGTAGTTGAGCTCTGCACTCGGGGTGAGTCTGTTGACGAAGGCGAAATCATCGTATTGCGCCCTCAGGCACAGTTCTTTTTTGTCTTCGTTGGTACGTATGGAGACGTGAAGGGGAGTTTTATCATCAACGATGATTGCAGCACCTTGAAATGTAATGTAATGTAAATTATTTATTAAATCCTTCTTACTATCGATACAATAGAATGGACGAGTCAGCACAGCACAGGTAATAAAGAATGCTAAAGTACTAAATTATAAATAATACGAAACTACAAATAGTACAATGGACGAGTCAGAACAGGTAATAAGAAATACTAGAATAACTAGATTATATGTATATGGAAGTCCTAAACAATTATACAAGTATAAGTAAAAGTAAATAGCAGAGGTACAGCACTAATATTTCACATAATTGGACAGGAACAAATGATTAGACAAACAATAACAATCAAATTACAGTGAAAACTCAAATAAAACTGGACAGAAAGTTATCAAATTCTTCCAAATTGTAAAAGCAATTTTGTATCAATATTTTCTTCAGTCTACATTTGAAAACTTCACAATTAGGACTAGCTTTTACATAATCGGGAAGCCTATTAAAGTAGGAAGCTCCAGCCCCAATAGGCGATTTTTTATAGAAAGTGTGTTTTGATTTTATGACTGCCAAATCATTTTTATGTCTGGTGTTATGACTGTGGACATCGCAATTCCTTGTCAGTTTATTTCGTAACCGGTATACATGGCACAATACTTTAAGCAAATAAATGGAGGTGACTGTGAGAATTTTATTTTCCTTGAATACATCGCGACACGAAGTTTGAATAGGAAGGTTGAATATAAAACGAATTATTCTTTTTTGTAAAATAAAAACTCTTCGGATGTCACGCCCTTGTCCCCAAACGATGATACTATAGGCAATTGCCGAGTAGGCATATGAGTAATACACACTCAAAAGGGTACTCCTATCAAGCATAGATTTCAGAACCGTCAGTAGATAAAAACACTGATTAATTTTCTTACACACATTGTCAATTTGTGCTTCCCAAGAGAGGTTAATATCAAATATAGTTCCCAGAAATTTCGCTGTTTCAGATTTTTCAAGTATAGTATTATTCAGTGAAATTGAACAACTTGATGGTGTTCTTTGATTTGTGTGGTATTCAATGCACACTGTTTTCCCAACATTCATCATCAGTTTATCACAATAGCACCAATCCTTGAACTGAATGAGTGTTTTGGCGACCTTTTCAGAAAGTGCAGTTGTCGAGTTGTCCGATATTATTGTGCAAGTATCGTCTGCGTACATGAGAACCTTAGCTTCAGTTAAGTGGTTAGGAAGATCGTTGATGAACATTAAGAAAATTAATGGACCAAGAACTCCCTTGAGGAGTTCCAAGATCAATGTCAAACTCGTTTGACAAAACATCATCAATTTTGACTATCATCCTTCGGTGTTCAAGGAAAGAGTGGAACCAATCGTTAAGACAACCACGAATTCCAAGATTATCTAACTTTTCTGACACAAACGTCTTGTCGACTGAGTCAAATGCTTTTGTTGAGTCGAAAAGTAGGGACACCACATATTCACCGCGATCCATTTTTTCATAGATATGCTGGGCATACTCCGCTACGCTGGTTTCTGTGGAGAATCCACTTCTGAAACCATGTTGATTGTTTGTGATTTTATTGAATGAATGCAGGTATTCTTCAAACCTTTGTGCCACAACTTTTTCTATTATTTTTGAAAAAATGCTCAATAAAGAAATTGGCCGATAGTTTTCGATATCACTGGGATCCCCTTTTTTGTGAAGTAAAATAACTGATGCTAATTTAAGGCACGAAGGAAATTTTCCCTGAGTGATGGACAAGTTAATAATGTGAGCCAGTATCTTAGAGATACTATGTTTACATTGTTTGATTACTGATATCGGAATTCTGTCCGGACCGGTGGATTTTTTATTTGGTAATGACTCAATAACAACAATAACATCATTATCAATGACGGGTCTGAAAAACATGGTTCGAATGGAGGCGTCACTTTTTGTGCATTGTGTACTCAAATTGTCACCAAAATAATCACACAGTTTTTTCTGAATGACCGTAGATAAATATTCACCAAAAGCATCAGCCATTTCAGTTGAATCAGTTATTACTTCATTTTCATAGTTAATTTCGGTTATTACATTGTGTTTCGTTGTGCCCTTTACATCACTCACAATGGACCAGGCTGTTTTATTTTTGTTGCTGGAGTTGTCAATTATGTTTTTGTAATGTTTTTTCTTCTCCGATTCAATTTGTTTATTTACTTCTTTTTTCAAGAGTTTGTAATTAATGTTTAAGTTTTCATCATATACTCTTTTCAAACAAATGTCAGAGGTTTTTGAGTTTAGGCATTGTTAGGGTATTCGTATGTTGTGAATCACTTCATAGAAACCAATGAAGATGTGTCTAGTCCAATCAGCCCTAGTTTACTACGAAGATGAGGTCATCATAGTGCGCTACGTTCTATTAATTTGCTTGATCATTGACCGATATCAACATTCTTTACAGGTCTCGAAGAAATTGAAGTAAGAGTAGTCGAGCAGCTAATGAAGCGCTAAGCTCTGATGTTATCAGTTGTGAAATGGTTTGGGAATACCGGGAAAAGTGAACGAGCTAGCCAACAGGAGTATAGTCACTCTTCTATCGGTTCCGGGATATTCCAGAGTGAAGGGAAATGACGTAGCTCAAAGACCACTTCGTGGGGGCCAAAATCTCTTTGCGGAATCAGCGGCAGCACTGTTTCACAAGGAATCATAGAAGAAGGAACAAAACATAGATCAGATATTTGGGAGAATCTTTGGAATCTCAGACTGGCTGAGATACTACTGGGGTCATATAACCACAAAAGATCGAACGCATATTATGTGAGTAAAAATGAACAGGGTGTGCTCGCTGTGGTGGTTGTGTAGCTCGGACATGTTGGAGCCCACGCAGATGCTGTAGTTGATCTCTGCACTCGGGGTGAGTCTGTTGACGAAGGAGAAATCATCGTATTGCACAGTTCTTTTTTGTCTTCGTTGGTGCGTATGGAGACGTGAAGGGGAGTTTTATCATCGACGATGATTGCAGCACCTTGAAGTTCAAACAAATGTCAGAGGTTTTTGAATTTAGGCATTGTTAGGGTATTCGTATGTTGTGAATCACTTCATAGAAACCAATGAAGATGTGTCTAGTCCAATCAGCCCTAGTTTACTACGAAGATGAGGTCATCATAGTGCGCTACGTTCTATCAATTTGCTTGATCATTGACCGATATCAACATTCTTTACAGTTCTCGAAGAAATTGAAGTAAGAGTAGTCGAGCAGCTAATGAAGCGCTAAGCTCTGATGTTATGAGTTGTGAAATGGTTTGGGAATACCGGGAAAAAGTGAACGAGCTAGCCAACAGGAGTATAGTCACCCTTCTATCGGTTCCGGGATATTCCAGAGTGAAGGGAAATGACGTAGCGGATAAACTCGCTAGGAAAGGAGCTCAAAGACCACTTCGTGAGGGCCAAAATCTCTACGCGGAATCAGCGTCAGCACTGTTTCACAAGAAATCATAGAAGAAGGAACGAAACATAGATCAGATATTTAGGAGAATCTTTATGTAAGTAAAAATGAACTGGGTGTGCTCACTAAGGTGCAACTCAGACATGTTGGAGTCCACGTAGATGCTGTAGTTGAGCTCTGCAATCGGGGTGAGTCTGTTGACGAAGGCGAAATCATCGTATTTCGATCTCAAGCACAATTCCTTCCTATCGTCGTTGGTGCGTATGGAGACGAAGGGGACTTTTATCATCGACGATATTGCAGCACCTTGAAATTCAATGAATCGTAGATGTTTTTGGGTTTGGGCATTATTGGCGTTCTCCAAGAACGCCCTATATGCAAAACGTGATGACAGCGTTTTGCAATGTGCTTGGTATGTGTGGATCACTTCATAGAAATCAATGGAGACAGGTCCAGTCCAGTCCAGTCAGCCTTAGCTTCCTACGGAGAGGGTTATCAGAGTGCGCCACGTTCTATCCATATTTGGTTGATTATCGATTAATATCAACGTTCTCCAGCAGACCTCGAATAAATTGAAGTTGAAGCAGACACTGAAGCGCTGAGCTCTTTGAATGGTTATCAGTTGTGAAATGGTTTGGGAATGCAGGGAAAATCTGAACGAGCTAGCCAACAGGAATACAGTCACCCTTCTATGGGTTCCAGGACATTCCGGAGTAGAGGGAAATGGAGTAGCGGACAAAATCGCTAGGGAGAAAACTCGAACACCACTTTGTGAGGCCAGAATCTCTCTGCAGAATCAGCGGCAGTACTGTTCCACAAGAAATCAGGGAAGAAGGAACAAAACATAGATGAGATATTTGGGAAGATCTTCGAAGTCTCAGACAAGCTGAGATACTACTGGTGACATATAACCACAAAAGATCTAACGCAATTATGGGTTAAAATGAACAGGGTGTGCCCGCTGAGGTGGTTGTGCAGCTCGGACATGTTGGAGTCCACGCAGATGTTGTATTGGAACTCTGCACTCGGGATGAGTCTATTGACGAAGGCGAAATCATCGTTTTGCACCCTCAGGCACAGTTCTTTTTCATCGTCGTTGGTGTGTATGTAGACGTGAAGGGGAGTTTTATCATCGACGATGATTGCAGCACCTTGGAATTCAAACAAATGTCGGATGTTATTGAGTTTAGGCATTGTTACCGTATTGGTATGTGTAAATCCGTGTAAATCACTTCATAGAAACCAATGAAGATGTGTCTAGTCCATTTAATCTTAGTTTTCTACGACACGTAGTGGTGGTCGGATTAGAATAACCCCACGGTAAGTCCTGCCTGTCGTAGAAGGCGACTAAAAGGACGCCATTAGGTGGAAGATGGTTAACGCCATCGCCCGGTGCGATACCACCACATCAACCATAGGCACTGTGAAATGGGTATACTTACCCGTGTTTCAGTAGCTGGTTGATGTTCCGGCCAACCCAACCCAACCCAATTTCCTTTTCCTTCCACGCCAACCTCCCTTCTTTATACAGAATACACGATGATGAGTTCTCCTCAAGTAAAATTATCCGGAAGTAAAATACCTCTCCATTCGGATTTCCGGGCGAGAGGTGCTAGAGGGGGTTCACCATCGGCTGAAAAAGTCCTCAAGATAGACCTATGTAACATCCGAGGTCTAAGTAAGAACATCAACGATGTCCATCGACACCTTCAAATTGAAAAGCCAGACATATTGGCTCTGACTGAGACACAGGTCAATTCATCCACCAATACGACCTATCTGCTCTGTCCTGGGTACGAACTCCACACACGTTTCAGATTTAAGGGAGGTCTCTGCCTCTACTCTAGAACGAATCTCTCATGTCAACGAGAAAAAACCTTGGAACCAAATAAGTTTGATGTCATGTGGTTCAAACTCGATAGCCAGAAACAGACCAAATACCTTTGTTGTCTCTACTTATCACCAAATGATCCATCCTATGGAGAGCTCTTCGAATTCTTGTCTCTGAAGCTTGACCAAATTCAACAGAACCATCCAGCAGCAGAAATCATCATCATGGGCGATTTCAATGTACACAACACTGCTTGGCTCGTACACTCTAACAGAACGGATGAAGCTGGGCGACAAGCCGAAGCTTTCGCCATCACTCACGGCTTAGAACAGCTTATCAAAGAACCCACACGAATTCCCGATGCCAATAACCATTCAGCTAACATACTTGACTTATTCCTCACGAATAATTCAGCACCCTACACCATAGATGTACGAGCTCCACTTGGCAATTCTGACCACACACTCATCTCCACAACCTGCCCATTTTTCATTCCATCAACTGCTCCGGCACCCTCACGTCTTATATGGCATTACAATTCAGGGGATTGGGACGGTCTCCGCATGTTTTTCTCCGAGTTTCCTTGGCATAGAGTATGCTTTGACTCTGAGGACCCTTCACAGTGTGCTGCGGAAGTATCCGAGATCATCATGCTCGGAATGGAAACATACATACCTCATTTTTCGAAAAGATCATCACCTTCGAAACCCTGGTTCAACAAAAGCTGTTCTAGAACTGTTGCCTTGAAACAAACAGCCTACCATCGCTGGCGCAAAAACCCTAACCTCGCGACTAGAGCAGAATACGTTGATGCCAGGAATAACTGCAGCCAAACAATAGATGCTTCGAAAGAAACATACAATGCCAAGATCAGATCGAAACTCATAGATTGTCCCAATGGCTCCCGTTCGTTTTGGTCCCTTGCTAAAGCGGTCGGAAGAAATTTCACTAACAGTTCATTTCCACCACTGTCCAAATCCGACGGCACATTAGCAACAACATCGCAGGAGAAAGCGAATATTTTTGCAGAAATTTTCGCAGCAAACTCTACTTTAGATTCCCAAGGAAGAGTGCCGCCAGACATTCCACCCGTTGAGAGTCGAATGCCCGAAATCGTCTTCCGTCAACGCACTATCAGACGACTTTTGCTTGGTCTCAAAACGAATAAGGCTAACGGTCCTGATGGAATTCCACCCATTATCCTCAAAAAATGTGCACCAGAATTAACACCGATTCTCTGCAAGTTGTTTACCATCTCGTACAGGTCGGGTATTTTTCCATCATGCTGGAAGACAGCTAGAGTCCAACCAATCCCCAAAAAAGGGAACAAGAACCTGCCCAACAACTACAGGCCCATTGCCCTGTTATCAGTAATCTCCAAAGTGATGGAGAAAGCCATCAATATTGAGCTTATCAAATATCTGGAGAGCTCAGGAATCATCAATGATAGACAATACGGCTTTCGCCACCGAAGATCTACTGGAGATCTACTTGCCTACGTCACCCATTTATGGCAATCTTCAATAGAAAAACACGGGGAATCTCTAGCTGTCGCGTTGGACATATCGAAAGCATTCGACCGTGTTTGGCACGAAGGACTCCTCCACAAACTACCATCATACGGCATACCACCTCAGCTATGCCATCTCTTATCGAGTTTTCTTTCAGGCAGATCGCTTCACGTGGTGGTGGACGGTGTATCGTCTGATACCATTGGCATCAATTCCGGCGTTCCACAAGGATCAATTTTGGCACCAACATTATTCCTGCTTCATATCAATGATCTGTTGGGAGTAACAACTTGCCCCATCCACAGCTTTGCAGATGATAGTACCCTCCATACTGCTTTCTCTTCCAGAATTCCAATTTCTTCCCAGGAAACTAAGACCTCACGGCGCAGGCAGGTCAATGCTGTCAATGAAGATCTTGCTGAAATCACAGCCTGGGGAACAAACAACCTAGTTGAATTCAACGCCACCAAAACTCAAGCCTGCATTTTCTCTAGAAAGGCGGAACTCAGTATGCCCGATATTGTAATGTCTGGCTCCACCATCCCCACCAAGCCCACCATATCTATGCTCGGTATTTCCATCAGCAACACTCTTTCATGGGATAATCATGTCAGATCCATCGCAAAAGCTGCTTCCCAAAAACTCGGATTCTTGTTCCGTGCGAAAATCTACTTTACACCCCAACAGCTTCTCATGATCTATAAAGCGCAGATACGACCTGTTCTAGAATACTGTTCCCACATATGGGGTTCAGCACCAAAACATACGCTGATGCTCTTAGATTCCATCCAGAGAAGAGCCATTCGCCTGGTGGGTGACGCCACACTCACTCACTCTTTGACATCTTTAGAACACCGTAGAAAGGTCGGCGACCTTTCACTTTTCTATCGATACTTCCACGGGAAATGTTCTTCGGAAATCTCTGCTATCATCCCTTCACTAGCAATACCAATCAGACGAACTAGACAAGCCCAGTCAGCACATCCTTTCGTTGTCAACCTCGAAAGATGTCGAACAGCACTTTATCAAGACTCCTTCATCCATAGAACAGCTAGGCTCTGGAATTCATTGCCTGTGGAAGTATTCCCAACAACATATAATCTCCAGAAGTTCAAAAAAAATTCCAATACCTACCTCCTGTCCCTATCCTCCCTAGGAACGCACGATGTTCTTTGAACATTATAGGGATTCCCTCTCGTGCGCTCCAAGCGATAAAAAAAAAAAAAAAAAAAAAACACGTCCTATTTATTTGGTTGATTATCGATAAATATCAACGTTTTCCCGACAGGGATCGAACAAATTGGAGTTGACGTAGTCGACCAGCCATTGGAGCGCTGGGCTCTATGATTGTCAGCTCTAAGTTTGGGAATGCCGGGAAAAACTGAACGAGCTAGCCAACAGTCACCCTTCTATGGGTTCCGGGACATTCCAGAGTGAAGGGAAATGACGTAGCGGATGAACTTGCTTGGAAATGAGCTCAAACACCAATTCTTAGGGCCATAAAATGCTTGCGGAATCAGCAGTGGCACTTCATCAGGAAAAATCAGAAAAGAAGGAGCTTAACAGAGATCAGACATCTGAGAAAATCTTCGAAGTCTCAGACAGGCTATAAGTAAAACAAAACTTTGTTAGTTTACAAACGGGTTCCCCAACTGGGCACTGATGAATGAAATACCTTCTTTGGAAGCTTGGCATAAAAGAGGAAGACGAATTTAGGGTCTGTGAGAAAGAAGAAGAAACCTCTATCGGCTTTTTTATGGAATGCTTGTTGTTCGACATGAGTTTGATAACCCATCGATTATCGTAATCAAAAATATTCAATATTACTCGAACTGACGATTCAAGAATATGTAACAAGCACGTTGCAAGGGTTGGGCGTATGCTTGTCGTCGATCTATATTGTGTTCTAGGCACGATGTAGTTCTAGGTTGTCACTCATTCGGCGAACTGTCAACTTTGACGCGTTGATTTCAGAAGAAATTCATTGGCATGAATTCGGATCAGGAAAGTTCAGATTCAGATATATAAATTGCGGCAAATGCAGCAATCGAAACTCAAGTACTTGCTATATTCATGATAAATTGGTTCTTATTTCCTTTTTTGAGTAAAAGTGGAATTTGAAATTATATTTTTTTCACTTTACCGCAGTAGTGCGGTGAAGTATCTCATTACGATACTAAAATCAGTGTCGTGATGTTTCACATTACATATTGGTAGTAGGTAATAGTTATTTTCCTAACAAGTGCGCAAAGTGTTACTTTTCCGCACGCAAATACATCAGTAAGCAAACGTCGCGGAGCGGAGTTCGAATGAGTTTTTGCGTGCGGAAGAGACACAATTTGTGAGGAACAACGTTTTTCCTACGAGTTTCATATCAGATAACAACGAAAATAACAAAATTCAACTAAATTACAACATCAAACAATTACATATCAATAAAATATAATGATAGAAAATCAAATCATTTGTTCTTAATGTTTATATTGAGGTTAAATACAAATATCGGGAAGAACGGTTCGAAAGTAAAAGGGATAACGGCTTCTTATACTGCATACAATAGTCTACAGCAACTTAAATGAATATAAATGTTCCATACCAGTGAGATTTTTAAGAAGTTCTACTTATTCGCACGCCGTGCGGATGACACCCTCATTTCCGCACTGAGTGCGGAAAAATATCACTTTGCGCACGCAAATGAGTGCGGAAAAGTACTACTTTGCGCACGCTCGTAGGAAAATACCATTTCAATATCGTTGAACAATATTTTAGCTTAGTCAGCTTAGTGAAATTCTCATATCTGAACTAAATTTCCCCACTCACCTTTGGAACTGACGAAGTACCGCTTTACCACGTTCCCCCACCGGCCGTCCTCCACTCGCCCCGTCACGAAGGGCCGAAAAGGGTGGCCGCCCTTCTCCAAGGGCCACGCCGCCTCTGCAGTTTGCCCGCCCCCGTACCAGTGGGCGGCCGACAGATCGAAGCAATCGGTGGGCGGCACTGAGTCTGACAGGGAGATCCAGCGGAGGTTGTAGCATTTTACTGCGTCGTCCAAGTCGTGGAAGTCCAAGTATAGTCTGGCTCTGAAGTCAACAAGACGAAATTTTGAGATTTTTCTGGACATTCTGAGGTTTCCCCTCGAAATTTTGATTTCTAGTTTTTTTTTCGAAATTTTGAGGTTAATGTGGATATTTCGAGATTTTTTTGAGAATTTTGAGATCTTTCTGAGAATTTTGAGATTGTTTTGACAATTTTGAGTTTTTTCCTTCTAGTATTTCATTATTATTCTGAGATTTTCCATTAAAATTTCGAGATTTTCCTCAAACTCACGAGATTTCGTTTCGAAATTTCGAAATTTCCTGTAGAATTCACGATTTTTCCTTAAAACTTGGAGAATTTTTCCAGAATTTTTTTCTCAAAAGTGAGATTTGTCTTAGAATTTCTAGATTTTTTCTATGAATTTTGAGATTTTTTCACAAAAATTTGAGATTTGTTTCATGTAATTTTTAGATTCATCTGGAAAATTTGAGATTTTTTCTCATCATTCAGAGATTACCATGAAAATTCGAAGAATCTCTTTCTCAAATCCATAAGATGCTCCTGAGGGCTCAGTTTTTATTTTTAAATTCTGGAATTCGCTTGAAATTTCAGATTTTATCTTGAAATTTCGAGATTTTTCTGGAAATTTTGGAAATCATTCTAAAACTTGCGAGATTTCCTTGGAAATATGCAGATTTGTTCTCGAAATTTCTGGAATTTTTGTAAATCAAACTAGTTTCTCCCGAAATTTGGATATTTTTCTGAAAAGGCTAAATTTTTTTATCGAAATTCTGGGAATATTCAGATTTTTTTTTTTCAATTCTGAGTTTCCTGACATCTTGGAGATTTTTTCTGAAGATTCTGGAATTTTTTCAGAAAATTTTGAGGTTTTTTCCCAAGAATTTTGAGGATTTTCTGAAAATGTTGGGTTTTTTCTCAAAAAATTCGAGTAAAAATGGGGACAGAGATATATCGATGGTAGTAGCTCTTCACTGAGTTGGGGCCACACTCTTCTTATTGTACTCGAGTAAGTAATCGAATAAGTATGACATACCTCGAAAAAGAATCAATTTGAGGAAAAAACAATCAGAAAGTTCCCAAAAAATTAACATTTCTTCATAGAATGATGGGTTCAGATGATAAAAAAGGAATGACTGCCTAAACATTGACTTACATACTTCTGAAGAGAGGCAATTTAAGAAGACAATTGAGAATTGCTCATAACAAACTGATTTTCGAACTAATCAAGTTTTTTACATAAAATATAGAAAGGAATTACTTCCAAATGTTTCCAAATCAGTAGTGGAGAAAGGAAGAAATGAAGAAACGAATAAATGAGGACACGAAGGAATGAATAAATGAGGAATAAATGAGGCCATACACTCATAAAGTGAATCGACGTGAAAAGAGCTTGAAAAATGAATGAATAAATGAGAACATAAACAATGATATTTTTCCATTGTTCATGTTTTCATTTCAGACAGGAATCAAGGAAGGAAAGTTGAAAAGTGCAAAGGAAGAAAAGGAGTAAGGAAAAGTCAATGTGATGTTGAAGAGCCGGAAAGGGTGGCTGCCCCTTTTTAAGGGCCACGCCGCCTCTGCAGTTTGCCCGCCCCCATACCAGATCGAAGAAGTCGGTGGGCGGCACTGAATCAGAAAGGGAGGTTGTAGCATTTCACATTTTACTTTCAACAAATCCACAACGAGAAATTGTTAGAACACAATTTTTCATGGAAATATTAATACCCGGTATCTCGAAAAGAAGCATGTTAGGATACAAGTTTATAGGAACTGTATTTCCAAAAATATCACGAGGAATCGCCTCTTGAATTTTTTAGGTGTTATCTACATACACCCTGTATATAAGTAAGAACCCGAGCCTAGGCCCATAAAATCAAGTGACGCCTGCACGACAGTTTCAGACATTCATTCACTTTCCATATGGAATTTATTAATGATTTTGAATTCTTCGAGCCAAAGAAAGATTGAATGGTAGACTACACTAGAAGTTACTGGAAAAACAGTGAAACTAATTTACTACTCACTGTACTCCTTGATCGCCTCAGGGCGCTAAAGGGCAACTTCACGGCCGCAAATCCGGGAGATAAATTGTCACTTTACGCCCGGTCGTGCATAAAGTCATAAAAATATCAAAATCACTGTTCAAAATCATTAGTTTTGTTGCTGTAACATTTTTGGGATTTTACTTTTTTGGCTCACCTGTGCATCCACTCTGAACACAAACTCCCATCGTGTTTGTTATCTCTTGGTAGGCAGGGCATCACTCTTTCGTAATTGAAAGTGATCTCGCTTTCACGATTATTTTGAGATTTACTCTCGAAATTTTGAGATTTTTTAAAAATATTTTTAATTTTATCCCGAAATTCAGAGATTCTTCTGGAAATTTGGAGGTTTCTCTCTCATTATTTTGAGATTTTCCTCAGAATTCAGAGATTTTTCCTCAAATCTCCATGTTTCTTCCTCATTGTACTATCCGAAATTAGGTAGTATATTCTGATATTATGCAGAATAGAAATGAACGAGATATTTTTCCTTGGTGGTTGATGGTAACAATTACGATGGAATATTACAGTACATATTTGCAATCTCGAAAATAATATTTCATAGTAGTTTCAAATTCTATGTTCTTCACAACATTAGTGGTATAGTCTTCACACAGTATGTCGACAAACTTCCGTTTTTAAAGATAATATAACGATCCAATTTCGAGAATGAAGCAATCACAAAATTCAAAGAAGTAACACCGGAATAATTCGCGGGGTGTTTCCTTGTGATATCCTAGCAAATAAAGTTCGTATAGACATAATGTCCAAACATGCTCCGTTTTTGAGATACAGGATGTTGAAGTTGAAAGGTTCAATTGTTTTTATTTATAACCCCCCTGTATAAGCTTTCATGGAGCCAAAATGCAGTATGGATGGAGACTGAGAAAGCTCCATAATAGATAATACTTGGGATTATTGAGCAATCGCAATGTAAGTCTTGAAAACACCTACATCAAAATTTGGGGACAAATCGAATTTTTATTGTTTCCTCAAGAACTCAGGTAGATACAAAAATCACACAGAAGATAAAAAAGTTGTTTTTGCAATATTTCAATCTGATAAAAATATTGAACTAAAAAAACAGTGGCGTACAATAAAATCATATTTCGAATCTACTTGCACTAGAAGAAGCTCCATATCACTAACTGTTTCATGGAAATATTAGGAAATCTTAAGACACATGGTTATATAAACTTTATTTCCTAAAATGTCACAAAAGGAATCAACACTTGAATTTTTTCGGTGTTATTTAGATACACCCTGTATATGAGTGGGAACCCGAACGATAGCAATAAGGGCAATTGACACGTCTAGGCCAATAAAATCAAGTGACGCCTGAAATACATACATTTTATGCACGACAGTTTCAGACATCCATTCACTGTCAATATGGAATGTATTAATGATTTTGAATTCTTTTGGCCTCGGGGCGCTAAAGGGCAACTTTACGGCCGCAAATCCGGACGATAAAGTGTCACTTCACGCCCGGTCGTGCATAAAGTCATAAAAACATCGAAATCACTGTTCAAAATCGTTAGTTTTGTTGCTGTAACATTTTTGGGATTTTACTTTTTTGGCTCACCTGTGCATCCACTCTAAACACAAACTCCCATCGTGTTTGTTATCTCTGGGTAGACAGGGCAGCACCTTGTCGTAATTCAAAGTGGTCCCTAGGGCTGCATTGACGACAATAACGCCCTCGTTGTTGTGGATCTTCATGAGCCTCTGGACCTTGTTGAATTTGATTTTTTCGAAGTACGCTTTAGCTAACACTTTCTGGTTGTACAAGAAGTACGAGGTGACTATGAGAACGACAATGGCGATGAACAGGAAACCGACGAAGATTTTCGTCTTGTATTCCGGGGACTTTTTCTTGCGGATCGTTTGTGGCAGATTCTATAAAAGGATGAAATATAACCAAGGTACTGATGAGTGAGAAACATCCTAGGTACAGGGTGATTCACCATAAATGTCCCCCCCCCCCTCTAGCTCACTTATTTTTGAACCGATTTGAAAATTCAAAAAATCATCTGAAATGATTTTTCAGAAATGTTTTTCCTGTTGCATCAGAAAATATAGGGTGCTCGGAACAAACGATCTACAGAGTACTACTTGATTTTTCGAATGGAACACCCTGTATTTCATTGTATTTTTAGATTCTCCCTGAAGAGCTGATTTCATCAATACATCACACTTAGGTTCTAGCGGGAATGATTACAGAGATATAGGGTGTTCAAAATCGAGATTTTTCAAATTGAGGATTTTTTTGTGTCGAAACTATTCATTATTGGCTTCAATGTCCCTATCAGAACTCCGCTTGAGCTGACTATTGGAAAGAACTGTTCTCATGTTTCGTGGAGGACAATGAAAGACGAAGAAAGCACTATCGTGGAGTGGATGATCAGAAAATAGGACAAAATATCATTTTAGTAAAAAAAATCAAGATTAGTGACTAAAACCATGGCCCATTCGATTCAGTATATTCAGAAACGGCCTTCTCGATATTCTTTATTTATATTAGACTTTCAACTCGGGATGTTTTCAAAAATTCGCCTCTGATTGAAATACAGGATGAAAATTTTCAATTCAAACTTGTTTCCTGATATCGATGATTCTTATATCAACTGATTTCGTGAGACACAGAGTATTGTTGTTCAATATGCTGCGTGTGCAATTTTTCGCGATGAGAATAGCCGTTACCTGGTGGTGTTGCTTACTTATTGAGTTTCGCATGGTAAGCGGTTGACAAATATCACAGGAACTAGAGTCTATGAGCTCCGCTGACCAGAACGAAACTACACTGTACTGGATGTATCAATTTGGAGAAGTTAAATTACTATTACAGATCTTGAAATGAACGAGTGTTCGAGTGATGTTATTTCATTGGCATTTGTACTTCTTGGCAATATCATTATGCTAAATAATAGTTATTCCTTCTACTAGGGGGGAAAGTAGTAGATTTACTGCTTAACTTGAGGAAGACAGTACTTCAATGATCTTGAACTGATAGGATAACCCAAAAAGAAGGAATAGAATTTTCATGAATTCACAAGGAAGAAACATTTACTCTAGAAAATAATCTTCAAACTTCCTACTTTCACAGTACTTTTTTGCAGGGAGGAAGAAACATATCCCTCTAGCATAAAAAAAACAATTATTTTTAAGCATCTAACCTTACTCGGCCTAAATGAATATTCTTCTTATTAAGACAGTTGTGAAAAATATCCCTCCTGCTTGAAGAAGGTCATTACTTTTTTAAACCTTCCAACCCTAATCGGCCTAAATGAACCTTCTTCCTAGAAATTATATTTTCAGGAAAATCACTTGAGAAAACAGAATTAAAAAAACCGACCGTCCCAGGCATTGAACCAACCTTGATCGGCCTAAATGAACCTTCTTCCTAGAAATTATATTTTCAGGAAAATCACTTGAGAAAACAGAATTGAAAAAACCGACCGTCCCAGGCATTGAACCAACGTCGCCGACGTGTGATCCGAACGCACAGTCAACTACGCCACGAGTCGTAGTAACTGTGGTAGTATGAAGAAATAATTCAGTAGCTGTTCCCGCACTTGCCACGCTGATTTATATTCATTACCTCTCTATACCTTTTCAACTTCAATTTCGGAATCGGTGAGTTATATTTTGGAAAAAGTAATCTCGATTTCAGAATTGGTTAGTTCGATTTCAGAAATGGTAAACTCAATTTCAGAATCGGTGAGATGAATTTCAGAAAAAATCCATTCAATTTCAGAAATGGTAAGTTTCAATTCAGAATTGGTAGGTTCAATTTCAGAAGATAAATCCTTATATATGTTTGAAATTTTTCCAATTGCAAAATAGAAGATTGTTTACAGTGCATGGAAAAGTGTTTGAGAGTGTGCGTTTGAAATGGACATCCTGCAGATGCCATAGTGGTAGTTCTGGATAATGCACCTACACATTCAAGAATAGAAGAGATATGCATGGAGGAAGAATCTCAAGATGTTATATTTTGCAGATTGGAACCTAACAGCCCTATTTTGAATCCGATTGAACAAATATGGAGTGCGCTCAAGACAGAAGTGAAGAGTTATTCAGAATAGCATCGCCAAAGGGTCATAGCTGGGGATCCGAACAGATTGCTCAACGAGATAGAAATCAGACTGCGATGTCGTGAAGAATGTGCAGATCATTCAATGAAAATGATAACACCTCAAATGTCTTTGCATTCTTATAATCATGTGCAACGCTTATCCTTCGGCGATTCGGATGGAAGACATCTGTGAATTAAATTGAGATTATAATTTCATTATGATATTGAATTGTTTTCGAAAAGTTGGATATTGTAAATATGGTTTGTTAATCTCACATGCAATTGGAAACATTTCAAAAAAATTTGAGGATTTATTTTCTGAAATTGAACCTACCAATTCTGAAATACAACTTACCATTTCTGAAATTAAATGGACTTTCTCTGAAATTCATCTCACCGATTCTGAAATTGAGTTTACCATTTCTGAAATCGAACTGACCAATTCTGAAATCGAGATTACTTTATCCGAAATATAACTTGCCAATTCCGAAATTGAAGTTGAAAAGGTATAGATGCTAGTATTCGGATTCGAACGGAGAAACGATAATTAGCAACGCTGCACTCCGACCCCTTATTCTGAAATTTATGGCAAGAATATTTCCCAGACGCTACTCGTTTCATTGACTAACCCTGTACAATTGAATCTTTCTGAAAAGCAACTGTGGAAGATGGAATACTTCTTCTACTCTGTTCTAACCTGTATTTTCTCTCTCAATAAACTTGCGATGGAATTCACTGAGGTAATGGACATTGCTGGGGAGTCTGCCCCAGATTCCAGATCTTCACCCGGTGGTTTGAGCATCCTTGGGCTGAGAACGGACTTCCTTCTAGCATTCCGAGGGTATCCGCTGGAAAAAAAAATGTTTTTTTTTCTGCAACGGACACAAAAGTCGTCCATTTTGATACGAAAATTAGCTCTTAAATTGACGTTTCTATTACTGACACAAAAATAGGTAGGTTGCTAGGCAACATATTCAGTTCCTAGGAGCTAAAGTTGAATTTTAGTTCCTAGGAGTTAAAGTTGAACTTTAGCTCCTAGGAATCAAAAAGGATCTACTGGACGTCATCAAGAATAAACAACATTGTGATGGTTGGTTATTTGGGTTGAGACGCATACCTGATTTGTTTCCGATTGCAGCAGATTTGGCATTTCATACCCATGCTGGAGATATAAATACACCTTATTATAGTTTAGTATTGGAATTATAAACATCTCAGTTTTTGTTTTGATCAGGGAAGCCTTCAAAATTCAAATATTTGCTTGATCTGTATTTCATTCGTTATTCTCGGGATGGATAACTTGTTTTTGAATAATCACGGCAAGCAATAGTTTCTTTGACTCAAACAACGATATTGTTTAGCTTCATTTGATTATCAAGTCAAACACAGTGTTGTATGGAGAGGAATAAATAATCACTATTATCATTGTTGATATGCTCACTAACCTAACATTTTCCACGTCTTGTTCCTATAGCTGGCACTGGCGCGGTATTTGCCGAGGTATTTGCCATTAGAGCACCTGGTCCATACACAAATATGTCACTCTGTGGTTGTATTTATATTGAAACTACAATTCATAACATCCTAGAAAACCTAACCTGCTGTTAATGCAGGTAGAATATTCTCGCAACATGGATTATTTGTCAATATTTGTTGCATTGCATACATATATGGCACGACAATGGTGTTTACTTCACATGTTTATTTGAGTTAATTGTTTCGGTTGCAGAAAAAATAGCATGTTTCATTCGGATCAAAAGTGACTTTGTTCGACTCGCAAATTCGCTTGTCAAACAAAGTGTCACTTTTGATCCTAATAAAACAATCTACTATTTTTCAACATGAATTATTTCAAATACTGTCTGTATGATAATCGAGGAGTTGGTACATTCATCATTCTAGATTTTTTTGGGATTTTCTCTCCTCGTTTCTATAAATGAAAATATTAATATCATTTCAATATACGTGTAGTAGGGACAAATCAGATGATTTACCCCAAAATGTCACTGGGTTTGAAGAGTTTTCCTATCAGAGAGCCTAAAAGAAAAATTCACTAGCTTGTCAGTGACAATTTGTATCGAAAAAGATTTGGAGAAGAGAAATAATGAAGGTATATAAAAAAAATATCAAATTTTCAGCTTTGCACGTTTCGGGAACGAATCTGCTCCCGTTTTCATCATAAAAAATGGTTATTTGAATAACTAATTCGTATTTGTCTTGAAACTTCTCAGTCCTCGCAGTGACAATTAGTGACGTTGGCAATCAAATGAGTTCAGGATGTTTTCATTAAGTGATCTTGAATTTACCATTTTCATTTTCAAATTTCAGTAGTGAATACCATGTTCTATATATATCAACTGAACAGGAAGCAATGCTATTGTCTCCGTTCAGAAGGGTGCAAGCAGATTCCTCGATTTTATCCTCTTCTTTTTTAATAAATTTCAACACCCCGTATTTCGGAAACAAATTGTTTTCGGACATATTATGTCAAAGAACTTTTTTTATTTTGACATAAAAAATATGACTTCGAAGTTTAGTGCAATATTAATGAAATACCCTGTATATTTTTATCGGAAAGAGAATGCAAATTCTCAACTTCAGAACATCATCAAATTATTATTGTGTTTGTTGTATGTAATTCAAAGTTCATATAGACCGGAAAGTAGTTTCTGAATATACCGAAAATCATCAGATAGATAATGAGAATTTTCAATGTATTTCATTATATACAGGATGATCGTTAATAATATGCTTATATTCAAGGGGCCGATTATTCGACCTATTTCAAGAATTAAACTTCATATGAAGGATTTCGTAAACGTCCTAAGTTTTGAGATACAGGGTGTCAATGTCGAAAATATGCATAGATTCTTTTTTGTCCACTCTGTATCTTCTCGCGATGGCAAAATTCAGTCTACTATGTGACTGAATCAGTATACAAATTTCAAAATGTTACATGCTGTGGTTATCTAGTGATGGATGTCCTAAATGGAGTACTCAGACATCAAAATTTGAAGTCTGGTTTCGTTTATCCATTTTTTTTTCTGAAACGAAGCGATCTGTCGAGTATACAAACAAGAGGATCTTTTTTGTACATAATTGGATAGCCTTTCACACCATGGAAAGAAATTTGAAAATTTTTCGTCGTTGCTCACTTTCGAGTAGAATATAAGCAATACTATTCCGATGCCACTGGTAGAGAAAATGAAAATTTTTGTACATCACAAAAAGGTACCTTGATATATAAAAGACGTGTACCAAATTTCATGAAGATGTATACAATATTGTCCCAGTTTTCATGGAAAAACTGTATAAATTTTCAAAACTTCATCACCCAGTATCTCCATAGTTAAGACTTCTAGGACAGACGATCATATATGGAGTTATCTTTTTGAAATGAGTCAAAGACATACTCCCTCAAATATTAGCACGTCTTTGAGGAACACCCTGCCAGAGCCCTGCCCTGTATATCCGTTTTTCCCAATTCCAGAATATATCTGAGAATATTCCATTTCAAAACTATTTCATTTCGACTTCCTTTGTAACTCAACTATTTTCACTCAATAATTGATAAACTACATTGTATCGCCCGAAATTTGGTTTCTTTTTCATAGATACTCACCACTGGATACCAAAAAAGATGAATTATACAAATGCACCAATATCACTTTATCATGTAAAACAAAACAAACCAAACAATGGAACCTAATGTAGGTACCTATTATTTCAATAATTTTTTGTTCCGAGAATTGGTTTTAAGGCTTTTTGTGTTCCATGCACTTCAATCCGACATCATTGAACTTTATCTCACAATTGCTTCAACTTTAACTGTTCTCAATAGAGCCGAATTGTCTACTGGAACAAATTTGCTCTAATAAATTTAATGATGAGAGAAGAAAGTGCATACGTCCGAGAGGATAAAGCCGTTTTATCAATATACCGGGGTTATCGTTTTATTGGCGAAATAGTTATGCCAGTGGCGTGTAGTCCAAAAATTAGAATCATCATCAATACAGTATGTCCATTTTGTGCGTAATTCGTCGATATCTCGAAATTTATTATCACTAGAGAAGAACTTTTGAAAACAAAGGACCCCGCACTTTTTCTATATAAAAATGGCGTTCCGTCGAATTTCCCCAATTTTTGGTAAATGATAGTACTCGACATACTGATTGAATATGCCAAGTCCCAACTCAATCCTATGACTAGTTTACGAGATACAGGGTGTTGAAGTTGAAGAATACCTAATTTTTCTCGGCCTATATCTCTAAGATAGGACAAATGAATTCCAATTTTTCGGGAGCACGTAATAGTTATGCCCTTAGGCGCAAGAACTATATAGGTATTCGACCAAAACTGATTTTTATTACAGGGTGATTCTCATTTCAAATAATGTGTTTTTTTGAATATCTGAATATCAATGCTACAAATTGATAACAATTACAAAATGAGATTTATAGCCAAGTATGCTCTTCTTACATCAATTGAATTCGTAAAATATAATAATTATACATGGTGTTTCATTAATGCTGTTGATTGCATAATTGGTCTATCCTAAAGTTCATTGGGCCACCTCGTATTATCGGGTTGATTCCAGACATTCAAAATATTTTTGAAGGATGTATCCCAATGAGTTCCATGATATACAGAGTGATTCATCGATTGAAAAAATTGACAACCACGAAAAAATATTCAAAAACCACTATTTTTTTCATCACCCTCTAATTCGAAATTATTACCGTCGATGTAAGATTTTTTTCCACCAATATACTCAGTATGGATATTTCAATCAAATTGGGAATTTTCAGACCCATGCTATGACTAGTTTTTTTTATACATCGAATAATGTGAAAATAATTATGGAAAAGTAATTACATAATAACACGAAAAATTGCTCCGAATCGCAAAACTAGTAGTCACTAGTCAACTATGTCAAAAAATGTGATTTGTTCGTAAACAAAATCTAGTGGTCTTATTATAGGTCCGCTAGCAAAACATCTCGAAAATGTTTTTCAGAAAACATCAAACAAATCACAATATGCCCCCGAAAAAATCTCATCAACGACACAACTCATCAACGATCCCACTCATATAAACGTGCTAAAACTCATGAGCGTTCCAAGTCGACAGCGGTTTTTCCCAACTCAATCCTATGACTATACTTTTCGAAAAAAATATGAAACTAAACTTCCGCAAACGCCTAGTGAGAGGTACGCGTTAATATATTTTGCAACTCTCCTTTATCCAACCAACTTCCAATCTTTTGATCATACTGTATATTGTAAGAATCGAAGTTAGTATATGCACATCGGAAAGACACTAAAGTTGGAGTTTTGGTTATGTAGATATTCGTTACCGGGTTCAGTATAGACTTGAAAGAAAAATGGAATACAGGAACATCAGTAGGTACCGAGGAATCATCATTTATCCAACACATCAAAAATATAGTAAAATAATAATGAAACAATCTCGAAGCCTCTTTCTTCCACTCAATATCAATTCAGAATTGCAATCATAGATTTTGAAAAAATACATGAACCAACTCGTTTTCCAACAACATCTATTTGTTGGAAGAAATAGTGGCATTAGGTAATGTATATCGTAAGATATACATACCGTAATAGATCGATAGACATCCTCAAATAACTATAAAATTATATTTTAGGGTAAGTTCTAGTCCCAATTCAAGTTGACAACTGATATTTTCGGAATCGGCGGGGTCGAATTAGTCTAGAAACTTGGGTTGTCACGAATTAATAAGTATGTTTTACTTCGTAGAAGTCGAATTTGGATTATCGCAACCAGATAGAATATTTTTCAGTAGGCTTAGAAAACAAAATCATGATATCAATAAATGTGTCTGTCATCCAGCAACTTTCGGGTTGTCAGTATCTTAAAATATCATATCAGCGTATATCTTTATTCTGAGTGTTTTTTAAGTCGTTTTCAGTAATTGTTTAGTGAATTTAGTGCGCATTATGGCATTTGCAAATAGGGTAAGATGTTATGTATGCGAAGGGAATTTCATTCCTAGACTCACAATTCGTATAAATCGTGAAGATAATGTTGATTTTCTGCAAATTGCAACATTTAGAAGACAAGCTGCTGGAAATCCTCCAATTGACATTTTTGATGATACCAGAGTTTGTTTCAATTGTCATAACAGTGTAATAATTGATATCAATGAGATGGAAAATAACCCAAACTGTCTTCGCCTAAATGTATTGAGTCCAGTAATGAGCCGTGCCTGCATAATCTGTAATGCTCGTCAACATGTTCAGAGAATAACTCTTGCATGTAGGGTGAACATTTTTGTTGTAACGAATATTTATGTTCCGGACTTTCTGAGAATTTGTGGTCATCATCTTGACCCTCATGGATTTCTCTTGAATAATTTGCATGGAGGTTTGAATTTTATCAACAAACCCTATTTGATATCAAATATGCTTCAATTTCTACAGTGTATGAGAACAGTTGCCAATGAAAATAGACGTATTAGAAACTGGGATGATATTTATAGTTTTACAGAAGAAGAGTTCAAAGCTCTGACGTCGATTTCAAAAGAAGATTTTCAAGAACTTTATGGATTTTGTGATACAATCGAGCAAGGGGGAAATAGAAGGCATATCAAAAAGAAACATTTACTGACATTTCTAATCAAAATGAAACATGGAGTTTCAGATGAGTTTTTGAAAATCTTGTTTCATTTTTCTTCAAGACAAACAACTAGCTTGATAATATCGAATGTGAGGATATCTCTAATGCAAAGATTTGTAACTAATAATATTGGTTTCGACTCTATTACAAGAGACGATTATATTAATAGACACGTGTCTGTATACACCAATCAGCTATACAACCCTTCTCCCAATATCCCAAAAGCAATTGTGTATATAGACTGTACATATAACAAAATAGAAAAAAGTAGTAATTTCCGGATATTGAGACAATCCTACTGCTTCCATAAAAATGAGCACCTGGTTAAGCCTGAAATTATGGTCGCTCCTGATGGCTACATCTTGGCAATTAATGGTCCATACTTTTCTGATGCTAGAAATAATGATGCCACCATTCTGCAGCATGAGCTACAGAATGATATAAATAGAATGAGGACATGGATTCAAGAAGGCGATGTAGTGATAGTCGATAGGGGTTATAGGGACTCTATTGGTCTTTTACAGGATCTTGGTCTCCATTACCATATGCCACCATTTCTACCACCAAACCAAAGACAACTCACAACAATCGAAACTAATAGGGCACGCTTAATTACTAGCACCAGATGGTTGTAGAGGCTAGAAATGGGCATTTCAAATCGATTTTCAAATTTTTCCGAGGAGCGATATCAATAACACATGTTGCAAAATTACGCGAATTCTATTTGATTGCTGGCGCCCTAATAAACAACTCCAATAAGGATGCCGGGCACATTGGAATTAGCTACACAAATGTTGCATGATATCGAAGAAGTCAACATTGTTCAGGCCCGAGTTGAGGCTGAAAACCTCCGTACAAGAAATGGTCGATGGTTTCGTTTGAACCATAGACATGTACCGACGTTTCCTCGACTTGACTTAGAATATTTGAAAACACTCACAGGGTCATATCACATTTACTTAGCTGCCTCCTACATACAAGACACGATACAAAGAGATGGAGGGGAACAAAATACACTCGATATTGACGAACTCATTGAGGAACCCAATTTTTTAAGATTTCGAGTATTTTCTCGGTTCAGAAATGCCACTAAACATATGCTGTGGTTAGTATTCAGAGAAATCGATGATAATAATTTACAAGATCCGCCCATTTTAGGGTACTACTGTACTTGTAGGTCCGGTGCTAGAACATTAGGGACGTGTGCACACGTAGCCAGTGTGGTATGGTTCCTTGGATACGCAAGAAACCAAGGAAATATTACCTTTCCATCTGATCGCCTTTTGAATTGTATCGACGATGCTGCAAATCGATTGAATCCTGAAAATATGAACATCGGTCCGGAACTGATTTGAATCTGGCGATTAGTTGATTTCTGTGTTCCTTGTGAAACATAATTATAGTAGTAGTAGTAGTATATGTCCTTCGTTGGTAGGTATGTACATACCAACCAACCATCGATCCCTAATGAGGTCCTTTAGCCCATAGTGTTCTGAACATGTATCTATATTGTATGTAGGCACGCAACAGTGAATCGTGCAGGACTATCCCCAGCCGATGCTCCGAAACTTCACAATATTTAATTCGTATATTAATATAAAAATTCCTTGCGCTGTCTGGGAATCGAACCCACGACCCCGCAGTCCTGACTCGGGTGCTCGTCCACTGCGCCAATCCTGCCTACACACAATCATATTATAGGTATTGGAACTTTCACTTTCTAACGTGGACTAGGCCTACAGGGGATACCACAATAAAAAAAACGCGCCTGAAACTCTACCTCTCAGGTGGTGGGGAAACGAGTTGGTTTGTCTATTTTTTCAAAATCTGTGATTGAAATTCTTAATTGACATTTTTCTTTCGGGCCTATACTGAACCCGGTAACGAATATCTACATAACCAAAACTCCAACTTTAGTGTCTTTGCGATGTGCATATACTAACTTCGATTCTTACAATATACAGTATGGTCAAAAGATTGGAAGTTGGTTGGATATAGGAGAGTTGCAAAATATATTAACGCGCACCTCTTACTAGGCGTTTGCGGAAGTTTAGTTTCATACTTTTTTCGAAAAGTAGTCATAGGATTGAGTTGGGAAAAACCGCTGTCGACTTCGAACGCTCATGAGTTTTAGCACGTTTATGAGTGGGATCGTTGATGAGTTGAAAGTTGATGAAAGGGGTGCGTAGAATAGTTGTGTCGTTGATGAGATTTTTTCGGGGGCATATTGTGATTTGTTTGATGTTTTCTGAAAAACATTTTCGAGATGTTTTG